GGCCCCAGTCTCCGCCTACTAAACCCCAATGACAATAATGACGACTGGATAGGGGTGGGGGTATACACAGATGGTATATAGAATAAAAGGTGCAATACAAAACAAGGGAGTAGTATAAAACAAAGTAACCATTACAGATTACATAAGGAAAATGGCACAAAGAGGCAGATCTGGAAGATGAGAGATATCTTCCCCAGGGATATCTCTTTTATTTTTATTAACGCCTCATATGGTGATATGTCACTGCGACCTAGCGGAGGCTCGTGGTTGATCTCCTAGAGGGTGAAAGGTACTCTCCAAGGAGAGGCTGGAGTGTCTCACATTTTTATATGGGGCGGAGTGGTGGTTGTGTTCGTGTAAACTGCGTGGCCACTAGCGGAGGTTTGTGTTGTGTGTTGTGAGGTTGTTTGTGTAGAGTGGGTCGTTGAGTGGTTGTCGGTGTTCGTGTGTGTATGCATGTATTCAGTGATTCTGCGTTGTGTCTCGTGTGGAGTATGTGCGAAGGTGTGAGATCGGGGTATCGTATGTTTTCTGGACTGCCTGCATGTTTAGTTCTCGTGTTTTTGTTAAGGTACTGGGGTGTATTCGCGCATGGGTCTGTCGTGCATAGTCTGCTTTGTTTGTGTTGTACATTGTGAGAACTGGTGTAGTATGGCGAGTGTTATTCGTTGTTTCATGTGTGGTGTTATACCATGTATGTTGGAGGAGAGGCCTAGTTGTTTCCCTGTGTTTGCACAAGGATTGTCTGTATTGTGTACTTGTATATTTGGTGGATTGTCTCTAGCTACTGGGAGGACTGTGAATTTCTGTTTCGATATTTTCCTATTCCTTTCAAATGTGTTTATGTTCGCGATGGCAGTTTCCGTGGCTCGTTTCATTGTTTTTATTTACTGGGGTGTGTGCTGATTTAAGTGACGTGTATGTGTATGCGTGGTTGTTAAATGGTACTGATCGTGGAAGGTCTGCTGGTACAATATCAATAGTGTTCGTGATAGACTACTCTTCAAGTGGTACTCCACTCCTGAAGTGAATGGGGGGGGGGGTCCAAGGAAGTTTTCTTGGCGTATAGTTGTTATTCTGTTCGTTGAGTAAGTTGCAGAAAAGGCGAGTGAAGTTATGTGGTACATGTAGGTTAGTCCACCATGCCAAACTTTGTCAGAGGCCTTGCTGATGTCCCGGAGAAGGAAGATTGTTTACTTACCACGTGTTTGGAACGCTGTTCTTCCAAGCACCGTTTTAAACTTGCAACATCACCTTGCAACCGACCGCAGATGTTAGAGGACGCTGCGAGCTGTTCTTCTTTTTCTTGAAGTTTATTCGTCAGGCTTAGTTTGGCCTCGGCGGACTGGCACTTGAGCTCCTCGAAGGCCTTGTCCCTTGCGTCCTCCATGTCTCGTAGGGCATTCAGTTCGCCAAGAGCAGCCTCGAGAACCTCCTGCAGGTCGACCACCTTCTGCTGCGTCTCCTGCAGGTTCGTTTCGTGTGTGCGAGCCAAGTCCTGAAGTCCGCTGATCTCGCCGACTTTATTTTGAAGTTCTTCCTGCAGCGCCTTCTGCTTCTCCTCGTGCAGTTTGAGCGCTTCTTCTTGGCCGCGCACAGTCTCGTGGAGATCCGACTGAAGCTTCACTCGAACACTTTCTTTGTTTTGGAACTTCTTTTTCCAAGTTTCTAGAGATGCCTGCGCCTTCTCTCTTTTCTTAATTTCCTGAGTTAAGGCTCTGGCTTTAGACTTGAGCTGAAAAAAACACATTTTTCCATTACACATCTATCAGCATAACATGATTATCATTCTGTTTTAGATATTCAACTGATATTGACAAATGTTTCCAGTAAAAGTCAAATTATAACAATTATGGCTATGAACAGGAGTGCAAATAAGAAAAAATAATGTCCATCATGCTCATTACCTCCTTTTCTTGTTGTTTAATATGATTTTTTTGAGACTCAATGAGTGCATGTTGCTCCTTCCTTTCCTGTTCAATGTCCACCGATTTCCCTCTGAAACATATAAAGTATTACAACTGAAAGCAATCACCGAAATAGTGAATGTAAGTCATGAGTCAGATTTGACACTGGCAAGTGATTATATCGTAAAAGATACTCCAACAAAAACACATGTTTACAAATGCACACTAACACAAGACACACACACATATATATTGGAATCTCCACAATCAAACCAGTTAAACAGTTATCTCTCTTTCTCTCTCTCTCTCTCTCTCTCTCTCTCTCTCTCTCTCTCTCTCTCTCTCTCTCTCTATATATATATATATATATATATATATATATATATATGTGTATATATACACACATACATAAATACATATATGTGTGTATGTATATATATATATATATATATATATATATATATATATATATATACATATATATATATATATATATATACATAAATACATATATGTATATATATATATACATATATATATATATATATATATATATATATATATATATATATATATATATATATATATAAACATCATACATACATATATGTGTATGTGTGTGTGTGTATATATATATATATATATATATATATATATATATATATATATATATATATATATATATATACATATATATATATACACACGTTAATTTAAAGTTGCTTATCAGGGAACAAAGATGCTATCTTACATAGCTTTGATATACTGGTCTTCCATTTCAGAAATCCGTCTCTTCAGTTCTGCTTCTGCTTCGGACGCACCGGTGGTAATGGTCTGAATCTTCCGCTCATAACTCTCGTGTTCTGCTGCCCACTCATTTCTGACAGAATCACATGGCATATTTTATGTCTGTGCATAAATAAGAGGGATAGGCATCATATATCTTAACATACACATAAGCTCTAACAAAATTCGAAGCTTACCGAACATGACTCAGCTGTTCAGTAAGGGATTTCACTTCGGCTTCCCAAGAGCTAATTTTCTGATCATCTGCCAATGTCCTGTCCTCTTCTTTTATAGCTGCAACCCCTGCGTTTTCCTTAAATATTAAGTAGATTTCACACTATGTCCAAAGAAGACTGAAAACCAATTAAAGAGATTGCGTCGTGCATGAAGTAACAGGTGCTTAAGCTGACATACCTGGGACATTTTAGTCAATTGTTCAGTAACACGCATTTTGTCATTTAATTCTTGACAAGTTTCCAGTTCAATCATTCGTTCTTCTTCCTTCTGTTTCTCTATCGCGAGATCTTGGCTTAGTTCCAATATCTAAAACATAAACCAGATTAAACAAAAAAGTGAAGATATATACGACTCATTCATTGCAGCAATGCCATCTTTCAAAGCTAATGCTTACTTTCTCATATGTGATCTATATCCAGTAATGCAAATCCATGCACAAACATTGCATTCCAAAAGAAAAGGAGAGAGAGAGAGAGAGAGAGAGAGAGAGAGAGAGACGAGAGAGAGGAGGAGAGAGAAGAGAGGAGAGAGAGGAGAGAGAGATGGAGAGGGAGAGAGAGAGAGGAGAGGAGGAGGGAGGAGAGAGAGAGAGAGAGAGAGAGAGAGGGAGAGAGAGGAGAGAGAGAGAGAGAGAGAGAGGATGCGAGGAGAGAGAGAGAGAGAGATGAGATGGAGAGAGGAGAGAGAGAGAGAGAGAGAGAGAGAGAGAGAGAGAGAGAGAGTGAGTAAAGGAGAACATTTTTTTTTTGATTGTGGAGAATCCAACAATACTTATCTGCATGCGCCTACTTTTTCCTTCTGATGACAAACGCGCTGTCGTTCTTCCTGTAAAAGTCCCTTTGCTTCATCCAACTGAGCAATAAGAGACTGTTTCTCCATCTAACGAATAAGAGTCTATTAGAGCTAAGTACATCATTCCCTCCAACAGGCACTGCTTACAATAGCCATCAGCAATAAAACGCAAGAGGATTAAATATTCTTTACAAGCAATAGGCCTCACGCTTTTAAGGAAGGGCTGCCTATTCGTACCTGCATGTCTCTAAAATCCGATTCCAAATGAGAGAACTTTGTGTGCATTTCCTCAAGACACTGGGACAAGAAGTTGGCTTTCTGTGTTACCTCTAGGTATTCTGTTCGTAGGGCTGCCAACATGCTGCTACCGTGCTGGAGGTCCTGATAGAAATGAGTAAGTGTATCTGAATTCTGGAATCTGATGTATGCAATGTATATTTATCCCAAACCAAGAACAAGCAGGCGGATTTTAAAAATGTGAATATCAGTTAACTTGCTGATATATTGTATTTAACCGACCTTCTCCAATTCTTGTTTTCGAGTTGCCACAGCCTCGAGTTTATCCAGAAGCTCGGCTTTGCTGCCTTCCAATGTGTCATTTGCTGTCTTCAGATACTGTATCTTCTCTACCGCTTCTTCGAATTCTTTTTGGCTCTCTGTTCGGCTGGAAATTATAACAACTAATTCATTGAGAACGTATACATGTACAATTTATAAAAAGTGTTTCGGCAACTAAAGGCGTTAAGTTTAAGAGGGATAAAGCTCCGACGGAAGTTAAAAGTTTTTAAATGATCACTGCTAAATATCAGTGATACTAAATAAAAAAAATATGTTAATATCAGTCATAACGACAGCATGCATATGGTTGTAAATTGTGAATAAATGGCGCAGCCACTAAGCAAATGCCTCCGGTATTAAATGCTACTAGAAACTATTAGTAATAGCAATATGACAAAGTCAGTGGAGGTTGAAACATTAGTACTCTTCTGGCCTGCATAAGTTTTGGAATTTACATAAACACACACACACATATGCAATACATCTATATACATATACACATACATATACATATTCATATATATATATATATATATATATATATATATATATATATATATATATATATATATATATATATATATATATATATATATATATATATATATATATATATATATATATATATATATATATATATGCATATATATATGCATATATACATATATACATATACACAGATACACATGTATACGTATGCATACATACACACACCCATAACCATATACATATTCCATTGCATTCAACAGTTCTGCAGGAAATGAAGAGGAATACTCCAATAATTAGTAAACATTTCATTTCCACAAATGTAAAAGAACAGCAAACCATTTATTCATGAAATAAATAGAATAACCTGTAATTTAACCTACCGATACTTTTCTCTTTTTAATTCCTCCTTCAGATTGGCCAGCTGTGCAGCCGATGCCCGCTTTTGCTCCTCTATCTCCGTCCGAATACGCTCTAGAGAGCTTTTAACCTACAGTGTAAGTAAAAGCATTGTTTTAGCTGAATAGACAGTATGGGGTCAGAACTGAAGGCTTTAACTATTAATATTGGGATGCAAGAGAATGCTTAACACCGACCTCATCTCTTTCCGATTCGAGGGCTAGATTTTTCTTTAGAGCGACCGAGGAACTTTCTTCTGTAGTCTTCAGGAGCTCCGTCAGCTCTGTAACTTTCTGTTCGTACTCGGACTGATGTCGGACGAGTGTTGAAAGGGACGCCTCTGATTCGTTCAGTTCTTGCTCCCTAGACGTGATTTCATTCTTCAGTTGCCTCACTTCTTTCGCAGCTGTAAAATATGTTATTTTCACTTCTCAAACCTTAACACTTATTAACCTTACTCGAGATCTGTTTCTCCTTACACTAAGGTATGCTTTACGCCTTACACAACCTATTCTACACGCTAGCCAACTTCCGTTTTACCTTGAGTTGTAATGCTGCTGAGTTGCTGTCTGTGTGTCACGCAAAGATCATGGAGCCCTTCTGACAAATTATTTATCTTCTGGACCGTATTATTGTGTGCTGCATTTAGAAGGTCCCTTTCCTGCAGAAGAAGTGAGAGGGTACCAGCAAGTTTTTCCTTCTCCTGTACAAGCGCGAGGGACAGTTGGCCAGTCTGCATCACTCTGAAAGTTAAAGATGACAATAACATTCGAATGATGGTAATAAAGACTGCCAACACACTTAACAATAAAGAGGTATATCAGGTATAATTATTGGTAACAGCACGGCCTTATATAAAAAGCCGTGGATGTCTGTCATGAATCGTGGGAATACGTTCTGTGGTATGATTACTGATTGGGCTTCTGGAGTGTCGTCTAATCTTTCCAGTAAAGTACTTTATAAATCGTTTTTATCGTGTTATCAGCCTCCTAACTTTATATCAATGAACTAAAGATAAGAAAGGGTAAAGAGGAATTAAATCGTGTTACCAAATTAGCCAATTTATCTAAAATATTAAGCCAAGGATTTTAGAATTCCAAAGAGGACGGGACGCCATATCGATCGCCGTTCATCACACTTACTTGGCCGCGATCAAGTCCCTCTCTTGGCGCTCCTTGAGTAGGCTCTGTGAGAGGTTCTCCGAGTTCAGCTGCAGCTCCATCAGATTCCGGCACTGGTCAGCGATGGTCACCCGAGCCTCGTTCAGCTGTCGCTCGAGCTGCTTCGTGTTCACCTAAGAACATCGATGAATCATTTATAAATAATAACTTGTGTGAACAGCATGGTTTCCTATTTATAAGACTTTGCTTTTTCTTATTAATGACAATGGGCAGGTCATGCAGGCCGTAGACTGGACGACAGGTGGACAAATAATGTAAGAGACTGTATTACAGCTTACACAAGGAAGCCATACCTATGGCAGGTGGCGTGACGGAATAGCAAGATTAGGGGGCCAAAATTGGAAACAGAGAGCGCAAGATCGGATAACATTAGGATAGGCCTACGTGCTGCAATGGAATATTACAGGTAGGTGTGTGTGTGTGAGTGTGTGTGTGTGTGTGTGTGTGTGTGTGTGTGTGTGTGTGTGTGTGTGTGTGTGTGTGTGTGTGTGTGTGTGTGTGTGTGTGTGTGTGCGCGCGCGCGCATGTGTGTGCATTATGCATAGACATACATATATATGCATACATACGTGTATATATACACATATATATGTACATATGTATGTATGAATGTATTTATATGTATGTGTATGTATGTATGAATATAAGTGTGTATGTGTATGTGCATATGCATCATGCATAAGCATATACATACATATGCATACGTCCACACAAAAATACATGCATGCATGTGTATATATACATAAATACTGATGTCCGAATGCATGTATGAATTTATGTATTTATAAGCATATGTACATGTATGTATGTATGGATATATACATATATACATATTTATAAAATATATATGATATACATGTGCGTGTGCGTGTTCGTGAGCGTGATCGTATGCGTGTGCGTGAGCATGTACGTGAGCGTGTGCATGTGCGTTTGCGTGTATGTGTGTAGTGACATTCTTCCATTTTGCTACATAGCCATCCAAACCTCAAACGATATACCGTAAAATTTGCATTTGCATACTCGTAAAAAAACAGACATCTTATCATTTCTCACCTCACTCGAAGCTTTCCACCGACACAGATTCTCCGTCTCCCGCTGCAGCTGCCTGTGAAGGTCCTCCAGATCCCGAGTCTCTTCCCGGTGGCCGCTACACT